CATGGACGGGCCGCCAGCCCAGAGGTAATAAACTGATTACCAGCAGATTTATCACCACCATTGATCAGGACTCAAATTTTAGTATAAGAACATTGAACATTGCTTGTGTCAGAATAAGAATGAACTTTAAATTTCTTTTCCTAGTTTGGGAGTAGAGCCTGTCGATCGGGACGTGATCAGGAAACCTCCACGGAACGTCCGAGACAGCATCATCACACGCAGTCTGATAGTGAAAATCCTAGTGTCGTCCTTCATCATTGTTTGCGGCACATTGTTTGTGTTCTGGAGAGAGGTAAGCAGTGTTCATCTGATGAGGCCTTCCTGAACATTTGTGTTCTGCTTTGTTTTTCATTTGTGTTCCATATATATTCAAAACAGGCCATTTAAGTAAATGACTAAACGATTTGTTTGCATTATGCCTTCTTTTTGTTTTAGAGGCATCATGCAGCTCTGTTTATATATTAACTATGTGGTTTCTTTTTTTGTTTGTCTACTTGAGAATTAGCATGGAGCCTTGGTACACAAGTGCTATTATCTTGCCTAGCCTCTAATTGGTCAGAAACACTTAAAACAATGCTGTAAAATGAATGTGTTGTTATTTTCTGGGTAAAGGAGCTTCGAAACCATTCTGGAAACTGTAGTAGTTAATGAAGTACATTCAATTTGATTAAATATTTGCCTCCCGAAAGCTGCAGGAACAATGCCAAAAGCTTTGCAAGGAACCGTAAAAGCATGTTCTAGATTTTTTTTCCCACCACTTCCTTTCAGTCCGTTTTTTTTTCTTTTTCTTTCAGCTGCGGGACAATGAGATCACCCCACGGGACACCACCATGACGTTTACCTGTTTTGTGTTCTTCGATATGTTCAATGCTCTCAGTTCCCGATCACAGGTATAAGCAACATCAAAAATGAACAATGCACATACATGTTTCCTGTTTACTTTCTCACGGAACATGTTAAGAACATGGGGGGAGCAGGATCTTCAACACTGCCACCTACTGTATGGATTATGAGTCGTGTTGTTTAAAAAGTTCAAAGTGTCAGTGCATTTCGCTCTCTTTTATTAGTGTTTAAGTCTGGATTTTATGTCAGTGATTCATCAGAGGCCTGTTTTTGTCATCCTGTAGACACGGATGGTGCACGAGATGGGCTTATGCAGTAACAGGATGTTCTGCTATGCAGTTCTGGGCTCCATCATGGGCCAACTCCTAGTCATCTACTTCCCTCCCCTACAGAAGGTCTTTCAAACTGAGAGCCTCAGCATTTTAGGTATGCAACCAAAAAACAGGAAACCACAGTACACAACATTTTTTGCATCATGTACAGCAGAGCCCAAAAATGGTATGTAAAATGCAGAAGAAATAGATTCTGCATTATTTATAGGTCACAAAAAATTAAGAAAAAATGTCACATTGATCATGCAAGCTCCTTGTACAGACAGTCAGATGTTCTTGCTTCTACTGAATCACAAGTTATTTTGAACATTCATCCTAGAGTGTTATTTTAGCTTTATTAATATACTATTAGTATTTATTAATATTTTGTCAGTTTTAGTTTTCATTTTAGAAATTCTGTTTTGTGCTTCTTTTTTTTTTTTTTAGCTTATTTAAAGTATATATATATATATATATATATATATATATATATATATATATATATATATATATATATATATATATATATATAGTGTGTGACCCTGGACCACAAAACCAGTCTTAAGTCACTTGGGTATATTTTTAGCAATAGCCAAAAAAACATTGTATGGGTCAAAATTATCGTTTTTTTTCTTTTATGCCAAAAATCATTAGGATATTAAGTAAAGATCATGAAGATATTTTGTAAATTTCCTACCGTATATATCTCAAAACTTCATTTTTGATTAGTAATATGCATTGCTAAGAACTTCATTTGGACAACTTTAAAGACGATTTTCTCAATATTTAGATTTTTTTGCACCCTCAGATTCCAGATTTTCAAATAGTTGTATCTCGGCCAAATATTGTCCTATCCTAACAAACCATACTTCAATGGAAAGCTTATTTATTCAGAAAATAATTTAAAAAATTGACCCTTATAACTGGTTTTGTGGTCTAGGGTCACATATGTATGTATATGTGTGTGTGTGTGTAAATGATTTTTAATACGCTAATTTTAAGTAATAATAACAACATCGTCCTAAAGAATATTTTATCAGGCTTTACTCAAACTAACTGGATTTTCGAGTGCTGCTGTCATGAAAGCAAAAACTTTAATATCAAATATGAATTCTGAAATTAATGTTGAAACTTTTCACTTAATTTGTTGAGCTGGTTAAATGATTGTAAAATTTTAAATCCTTTATTAAATGAAACAATTTTTTATTGACATCTTGATTAATATGAACAAAAGTTTTCTTTTGGGTATTTCATTGCTATTTTAGTCGAGCACATATTGTGTTTTGGATGTGCGTGCGTCACGTGATTTGTTCACTGATTTATGCACCGCCCCCTTCGTGCAGATCTGCTGTTCCTGGTGGGCCTCACGTCCTCTGTTTGCATGGTATCGGAGGTCATAAAGAAATTAGAGAGACTCAGAGGAGGAGAAAAAATGGCAGACACTGACGATTTCCATGACGTATGACGCACATTGTGTCCCGTGCAGGAGATGGAGGGTGGGGCTTGGGCATGTGGTTTGGAATGTCGCTCAGGCTGGTCTCATACTGTACAAAACTATCAGTCAGGTCCGACCTGTATGTAGAGTTCCTTTTTAAGGTCAAGACTAGGAGCTGATTGTGGAGTGATAACCTGGTCCTGACTGAAATGTCGTCTCTGACATGTGCTCTTGCCCATGGAGATGCTTTGGTGTGCTGCTTTATGACTGTACTACTTCCCATAGCATCTGGACGAACTTTATTTATGAGATACTGTATCTGTCCATACAGTGGCTGTACTGAATTCTTGATTTAAGGGATGTATTATGATTTTTTTATATTATTATAATTATTATTAAAAGGATTTTGTGTCTTTTAAATCTCCTTTTGTTTAAGCATTTCTGGTTAGAGGTTTGTGGAACAATGGGGTAATGCCTTTCTGCATTCCAGATTCCAAATTATGCTCGAATAATCATTTATTTTGCATTGGAGACTATTGTAAGCTTGTGCCCTCTTAAACCATGAGTGGAAGGTCCAGTGTTTGGTGGAATGGACCACTTAAAGTCTCATGTTTTGGGTCACGATGACACTCGAGGTGTGAATTAAGACACACGTGATATGCTAAATCGTCACATAATGTACTTATAGCATCATGGATGCCATATTTATTTTATAAAACCATGATACAGGCACTGTTTAGGTTTTGATTTATAGTGCAAAACTGCAAAGGCTTTCTCGTAATCTGCTTTTTATAACGATTTTCTATTTGAAGATACAGGATCTCACAATATGATGATGCTACGAGATTACAGGGTCCCACTTTTTGAGTTACATGCACTATTAGTTCTTATATTAGACTGATGATTAATACAACTTGCTTGTACAATTCCTTATCAGTTCCTCTGTATTTACATAGTATCAATACTATATTGTTACTTTCCTTGTGTTAATACACTGGTATTAGGGCCATCTGAAAATAAAATGCTTTTGACTTTTCACTTTTCTTTGGCTTTTCCTATAGTGATATTTATTTTCTCACCTGTTTGGTGCTCGGTTAGGTGAATGCTTAGTTCTTTAAAGGTTTAATTATGTAGTTGTCAGTTAAATGGATGCTCATTTTGGCTATACAGAAATGTTCGACTAACCAGTCCTGACACTACCCCCCCTCCACCCACCTATGCCAAAAAACCTCAGTGCAGCCCACCGGCATTGTCTTATTCCCTGCCAACACTGTATCTTGTTAATAAGGTACAGCTAAAGATGATATAATTGAGTTTTTGCAGTATGCGATCATGTTTGTCCTTTCTTTTGCTGGTAGCGTTTCTTTATTATCACTTTGTCCATATTTATTAATTGGTGAGATTCATTTTCTGCCCTTTCTGTTTTCTGGCATTGCTGTTGCTTTGAATACAAACAATGTAATACACTGATATTAAACAGTATACAAATTTTCAATGAAGGGTGATGGGTAAAAAGCTTATTTTTTATTTTATGATGGTTTTTTTCTTCTTCTTCTGTTTTTAAGATTGTATTTATTGTGTGTTTTGCACAGATGAAACCAGTAATCTGTTGTGGTCATTTCAGAACACAATTGTACAATAAAATTTTTACAAATGTAAAAAAGAAATGTGCATCTGAAGTTGATCATTGATTAATCTGATTATTTAACTATGCATTTTGGAAAACAATGTAATGCATGCACTACATTTTCAAGTCCAGCCAGATTTTATTCCATTCAAATCATTGAAATCCATGATGTTAATGTTTATAATGCCTAAATGCCTAATTGTTTACATTTAACAGTTTAGTGCTAGGCGATAGGATCATTTCCATATGGTGATAACATGAAAAATAAAACCGTTTAGAGTTGATGTATAACACTTTTGGGGTTATTATAGTCTACGTATGTGGATAACAACTTGTAGAACTTGTAGTTACAAGTTGGAGTTATTAATACATTATGCCGTGATATAGAAATCTGTAAGGTTCGTTACACACAAAAGAAAGATTAAAATAGAAAAATATTTTAAGTTGATACTTCAATTAAAATACTCATGTTACTTAAAATACTCTGCTGAATAGGTTGAATTTGCATTGACACAACCGTAGTCTAAAGGCCCATTCACACCAAGAACAATAACTATTAGTGCGCACCTGCGGCTTTAAATTCTCGAGCTCGTTATAGCAGGATTGATTCTGATTGGATGTCAATGTTTTTATCATTCATCAACTGGAAAAAAATGTTCTGAAAGTGATTCCAAAGATATCGTTTTGCTGTGCCTTTATCATTATAGCTGTGGTGTGGACTCTGCTACTCTGTAATATTGAGAATGATTTTTAGAACTATATCTTTATCATTATCTTTATAGTTATCGGCCTTGGTGTGAACAGCCCTTAATTCACCAAAATCCCAAAGTCCAACACCTTAATGCAAATATCGTACAATGATTTTTAGCTTAAATCAGGCAGTGATTATCAATAAATAATACAGGATGGCAGGACATGATGTGATTGTGATATACAGTAGACAAGCTGTCATTTTTTTTCTGGTAGCATGTCTGGTCTCATTTCCATTATTATAAGTGTATTAGTGCAAAAACTTTTATTTTTGTTGTTGTTTTTAAAAGTCCTTTAAGGTCTACTCGAAGCATCTCCTCTCAGATTTTTTAGAGGGATGATTGGCATTGCGAGCTTTAGCCTTGTGTCTGGTACGGGGGGTGCAGGGAACGTCAGGAATTTCATTCTTGTGATCCTTAGCTTTACTCTTCCTTCCTTTCCCATTAAGATCATCATCATCATCTTCACAGTCATTAATATCCTCATACATCAGATTTTCAAAGGAACTGCTCAGTTCATCTATAGGCTGATCCTGGCCGTTGTAGTCTCTCTGTGTTTTCCCAGCAGCTCTGTGCTCGAGCCCGGTTCTCATTTTCTTGATGAAGTCTTCACCCACCAAGCTCACAACTGCATCCTCCAGCTGTTTGAAGAGCCGCTCTGCGCTCGAGCCCCTCACCAGCAGACAGTCCAGAGTGATGCCACTCCTGAGATCTCCGACAACATGGTGCACCAGTGTTCCACGGTACAAACTAAACAACATGAGAACAGCACATTTAGTATTCATGTGCAACAACACCAGTTGACACTTTTAAAATGTAAATGTATTATTCATTCTAATATGCAGATTTGCTAACATTTCATATTATTATAGATGTTAAAAACAGCTTAATATTTTTGTGGAAACCATGATAAATGTTTTAGGGTTTCTTTGATGAATCGAAAGTTTAAAATAATGATATTTATTTGTGAATTTAAAAGTATTTTTAAAAGTACTTTTAATCAATTTAATGCATCCTTGCTGATTAAAAGTATTAATTTCTTGAAAAAAAATTTTTTTGAATAGTAATGTGTATGTACGGTGTACACACACACACACACATACACACACACACTTATATATATATATATATATATATGAATGTTTTTTTTCAAGCAATTTAAATTATTTGCGAGGTTTCAATGAGGAAGTAGAATTTTTAACATTGGAAATCAAAATGATAATTATTATCAAATAGTGTATGAAAGCTTTCAAGATGGTTTATGAGTAATAAACGGATGTTGTACCTTGCAACCTCTGGTTCAGATACGGGAAAACACAGTAAACTATTGAGACAGAGACTCCACTTCAGGCAGGACTGCCACTGGCTGTATAGATGAGCTGTTTCATGCTCCAGATCCATCCTCCTTCCAGCAGTTTGTAGTTTCTTAGGTCTCAACAGCATGTCTAAATCCCCAAACCAAAAAATATAATGTTTTCACACTTTTATATGTTACGTACTGGCTTAACACATTTCAAGAACCTCAGCAAAGTTTTTGCCATTTTTCCCATTCCATTTAGGTAATCAGTTCCTCATATCACCATTACATGACAATGGTGGCATACACAGTATGTGCCTGAGGTTACTTTATTGCATGCTATACAGTATGTCTTCTGCTAACATGATAATGACATATGATAACTTCAATACCTCTATGTCTTTTAGGTGTACTGCTGAACTTTCCATAGACCATTCCCAGCAGCAGCCCCCAAAGATGCACTTGGGACGGCTGAGGCTGTGCGTTTACTAGCCAGTAATGTGTCACAAACATTTGCAGATGTAGAGCAGGTTGGGTCCCTCTGAACATCTCAGACGACACACCCAAAGTGTCCAGGAGCACCTGAAGTCGCACACTATGTGGTTCCTAGAAACATTACAATGACAAAAACTGTAAACCACAAAATTTCATTTCACTTCAAAAGAGAGCTAAGACATCTTCATTACCTTCTGTAATGTTTTTAGTTGAAGTCCTTCCATCACCCCGGTCTGTATGGCTTCAACTTTCTGAATACTTAGTTTCAATTGCTGTCTGCCGTATTCCTCTACATAACACTTACTTGTGCCAGTAAATGTTTTTATGTCTAACGCTTGTTTATCTGCTGTCTGTTGTTCTCCCAACAAAAGTAACCCGTAAATCACCTGGCGTATGGGACGAGAGGTTTCACTGCTACAGGGGAGTTGGAAATCTTCAACCTGAGATATCATAAAAACCCTTTGATGTACCAATACATCGATAATGGAGGAGCTCATCTTTCCCTCAAGTAGGAGCTTCAAGGTCCATTCAGGTAGAACTTGCAGAGGACCTGTACAGGGAATCGTCTCTGAGTGGAAGAACTGGGCAAGAGAGCCAGGGAAGAGCTTGTACTCGTGGATTCCCTTGGAAAGTGCTTCTTGGGTGATGGCTTTTTCATTGTCGTCCGTTCGTTTCAGCAAAGCAGTAACAGCTGCTTCTGGCTCTGGAAACTGGGATAACCAGTTAAGCAAACCATTGATGTGGGCATGCTGTGTGCCAGGACCTGAGTACTCTGCCCAAATCAGGCATTTGATATTTTGCAGCTTCACATAATCATTGCCTAAGATGGACGCAAAAACTGGTAGCAGGTCTGTGTTCATTTTGAAAGATGCACAGAATTTGCCCACTGTAAAGTGTTTGGCTTGGATGAATTTTTTGTTTGTCTTTCTGTCCACTTTCACGTTTTTCCACTGGAAATGTGTGATTGGCAGGAGTCCCGTCTTGAGGTTGAATATATAGAAGTCACTGTCATTGGACAAAACTGGACAGTTCCACTCTTCAGCCAAAGCAGCAATTTCCCAGTCAGCCTCTTTAAGACACTGAACCAGCGGTACATTGAGCTTTTGAAGGAGCTGTCTGAAGACACTTTTAATGAGAATAGGAAGGACCTTCTCTTTCTTCCCCACAGACAGGGCAAAGGCCGCATTTATTCTGTCCTGTTTTCGTTGCATAATAGTGTCCCATTTTTTGTCAGTGTGGTCAGCCCCGCCATCAAGTACAACATAAGGGCGAATGGCACAGGCTCTGAGGTTCTCAAAGAATTGAATGATCAACTCCTCAAAGGCGTCATAGTCTCCTCCATGCATCTGATCCAAATTACAGTCAAAGTACAGGGTGTAGTATAAGTTACATCCATCGATTATAAGTTGTTTGTCTCTAAAAGCCCAGCTCCTTAAATAATTTCTGTTCCTGCTTTCAATGTAGGTCTTCAGTCCTCTGACTCCCATGTTGACAAAATGGTTGTCATTAACTTTAGCAATATTAAGCCTTTACTTGCTGTGAAAGTGTAATAAATAATATTCCAATTATTCAATTGTAGTTATTTATTCATTTATTATTTACATTGTATAATAAGTTAAATTGAATAATGAAATTTAATATCAACTATTAAACATAAACAAATTCGTTGACACGGTGGCGATAATGATATGCAGCAGTGACAGCTACGGAACTTTCTTCAAACAACAGCAGTATAAACAACTACATAATTCCTCTGCTATGCCAAATGTCAAATATCGTTCTTGCTTTGGACTAGATGTAATTCTAAAGTAATATGTTTAAGCAGAAATAATATTACAGTAATTAAAAAGAACTTACCGAGTGGTGTGCAAGTGTGTGAGGCGTCTGTGCGCTGCATGTATCTGAATACGATGTAGATCTTATTATATAAAACTGACTGGAAAGCGAAACTTAGTCTTAGGACGTTAGGTATTTCCACGAAAGCGAAACCATTGCCTCAGGATCATAAATAAAAACATGACCGTCATGGATACTTCTAACATAATAATCACCTGGGTGTGTGTGTGTGGGTGTGTGCATGATGGTATTTATCCCTGAAACATGATTTCTAATAGGCAGTAGCTTATTTTGTTTTAAAGAGAGACAGTTATTTTTTAGATGCATTACTCTCTAAAAGTTTCGTTTGTTCGTTCATTCATTCTGTTTATTTATTTTCAGATAAATACAGTGGTGGTAAAAGTAAAAGTACAAATTATAAACTAAACTATATTCGTGTATTTATAAGTAGGCTGTACTCTTCATGATCAATACCAGTTTGAGGCAGTTTATGCAAAGCTGTGAAAAGAGCGTGCATTTTGAATGACAAATATGATTTGCAAAAAATGACGCGCTTCATTTATAACGAAGCATATTTGTCATTCAAAATCACAACCACACGATGTGATCTGGTTCAGTGAGAAGGCTGTGATACGCTTATGAGGTAAGAATATCTTTATGCGGAGATATTAGAGATTAGATTTTAGAGATGTATAACAGTCAGCCCAATGAAGGATGACAACATGTCTTGTTGAATGTATAAATGTTTTTTTTTTTAATACAGTAAATACTGATATTAATGTATAAAGACTGGAAAATACATATTCAACTTTTTAAAAAGCATGATGCATTAAGAATTCTGGAAAATATATCGATCAGATGGAGAATATTTTTTTGGGGGGGGGGGGGTAACTAGTTTATATTATTGAAAAATTTCAAAGTAGGATATTTATTAGTTCATTCTTATTATTGGCAGTGCTTATAAACAATCTTCATGAATATTTAAGAAAATTGTTTTATTTACATGAATAATTATTTATTAGTGCATTCTCATTAATAACAGTGCTTAAAACAATCTTCATGAATACTAAAGACATTTTTGTATAAAGTAAAAGTAAGGTTTCATTTAATGAATAATTATATGGTTGCATTATTTACATTTTAAAAAGATTACTCTTGTCTTAAAAGGTAAGTTTTGTGAGTTCATATGAGTGAGTACATGTTTTTTCTCTCATAGGTGTTCATGTATTGTCAATATGCTTTGTACACTTCATTAGATCAATCACATTATTTAAAGCCAAATAAAGAGAACAATTTTTTAAGTTGTACATTTTTTAAAAAGTAAACTTTAAGTTCATACAATTTAAAATAACATTCTTAATTTAATTTAATAAAACGGGTAGTTCCGGTCCTTGATTCTGATTGGCTGATCCGCGTTCGAAGCTGTTGTAAATTACTCTACAAGCATACACCTTTGTTTACGTTTGTGTGTTGCTCGGCAACCACTTTGTTGCGACCGCAACTGATTCTGAGGAACTACATTGTTTGGTGGAAGAATAATGTTTTTATTAATATAATTACACTTTATTTGCTCTGTTTTATTTTGTGAAACCTTACTACGTATATGGAATAACTGTTTTATAAAAGCAATAAACCCGTGAAGCCATGGTTTACAGTGAATTTATAACAGCTAAGGGGGTTTTAGGCACTCTGCTTCGGATGCAAACTGTTGCCTTTGTTTTTTACATTTCTAAGTACACTCCGTTGTTTCACTGCAGCAAATATATGCTAATATAAAAACAAGTGCTCCAGTAGCTCTCACACTATTGATTTACAAAGCTATAAAACAAGCAGTGTGAAAATGGTGTATTGCAAAATATCAAACGAATGATTTAATATGACTGACACACAGGGTCACATGTTTTTTTTCTCTCTCTCTCTCTCTCTTTTTCAGACCACTGACTAAAATAAGGACAGAAATCATGCTGACTATTCTTCTGATTATGGCAATAACTGGCCAAGGTAAGAAATGCATCATTAGTGCTTTCTAAATAGAGCCATTCTTCCATTCTTCATGTTTTAGTCCTCTTGAGGCCTAATAAAAGGCATGTTCTGTCGGCATGATATTAATAACTCTTGGTTTAACGGTTTAACAGGTGGACAGCCTTGGAGATAGCTTCATCACAATATTCCCAGAGAACATAGCCTTCTACTATCCACTTAGTCCAGTGAACTCTCTCAATATCACCGCTGTCCTTCCCAACACTGTGGTGGAAGTCTTCATCTCAGGGCAGTTGACATACACAAACACACTGCCAGCAGGAAAGCCTGTAACTGTGACCTTGCCAGTGGATATTGAGGAATACCAATTCGGTGAAACTTCTCAGACTGTCAGAATCAGCAGCACGAAGCGCATCGTGGTGCAATCAATCAGCAAGAAAGCATACAGTGTGCAAACTAATGTCATTCAGCCTCAGAAAAATCTTGGTACAATTTATACCATCCCCTTGCTGAATTACAGGCAGATGATCAATACTTTTTATCAATCGGCAAGAAATGTCAGCAAGAGATACAGCTCCTTCAGGCTGGTTATTATCAACGGAGAAGATCAGATTAATAATGTCAGAATTGTAAAAAGGTCTACAGACGAGATTTACATGCTCGATCCGTTCACCGCTCTCCAGCTTCAAACTGACGGGACAGAAACTGAGATTTATTCTGATTATAGAGTGGCTGTGATGCTGACCCATCCATGTGTAGAGATGGAAGAATGCAGATGCAACATGGTGCTGAACCAACTTTATCCCGACGCTCAGTGGGATAGCAGATTTGTTGTACCCTCAATACTCAACACCAGCTACTTTTGGCTACATGTGACGTCCTCAATGAAAACCAGTGCCAATGGCGGGGATCTAGAATCGAGCACTGTGGATGCCTATTCCTCAAAACTACTGTCGCTTCCATCTCTGCAGTTAGGATCCCAGTTCATCAACACATCGAATCCTGTTTCCCTCAGGCTTGTCAGTCCAAGCGGCATCATCATTGAACCGATCTCCCAATATAGGTTCTCTGCGTGCTACCTAGTGCCTGTCAGCTCGACAGATGCCAAGGCCTTAATCATAGCAGAAACATACTACAGGGATAGTGTGTATATAGATAATGATTTGCTTTTATCTACTAAATGGAGTCCCATCGCCAATTCAGTGTACTCATCGGTGTCAGTGTCTCTTGATGGCACACACATCATTTGGCATCCATCCACAAAGATCGCCGTGTA